CAAATGACCTTTGACCTCATCCCCTTCGTTTTTATTTCCACCCTTCTATTCCTCTTTGTCTCGCACTACCAGGATTCATTTTCCAAAACACATAATCAGCTGTGCTCTTGTTCATATCATCCTGAGATTCTGAGCTGTGTGTCATCAGTTTTGCTACTGAATGTTCACACATGGATAAATGTGTGCTGTTTGAGTTCATTTTTTGATGCTTGAGTTAATTATATTGTGTGTTTGTGTTTTCTGAATGAGAAGATGGTTAAACCTGTGCAAAATGATGGCGTTTTTGTTTAGATTTTTGCGGAAAACACTGAGCAAATTGTAACGTGTGTGCAAACAGGTGAAATGTGTTAAGAAGGTGTTGAGAAACGTGTCTTTGTTTCGAGAACTGTATGAATGGTTTGGAAAATTGGGCCAAATGAATCTGTTATAGTGTGTTAGCAATCGAGAAAAACTGTAATAACACCCCAAAACAGCAAATAAAAATATACCGTAACCCATGGAAACAGTGTTCTCTATTGCAACAAGTGCAGTCGTTCAGCTTGCGTTCAGTCATTAAAGAGGTCGTATGATGTTGCTAAAAAGAACATTATTTGGTGTATTTGGTGTAATGAAATGTGTTGGTTAAAAAAACACATTATTTTCCACATACTGTACATTATTGTTTCTCTATGCCCCGCCTTTCTGAAACGCATTGATTTTTACAAAACTCATCGTTCTGAAAAGCGAGGTGTGATGTGATTGGCCAGCTATCCAGTGCGTTGTGATTGGCCGAATACCTCAATCGTGCGACGGAAATGTTACGCCCCTCACCATATTGTGATGCCGTGTGCATCACGCATAAAACCATGTCTGCATTTGTGATCGGAGAAATGACAAACAAATGCTACTCTACACTGCCTACACTGCCCGTTTGAATCATCAGTGGCAAATCCTTTAAATATGAAAACGTACTTGCCCTGCCGGCTCCGCCCTAGCTCCATGCCCTGCCGGCTCCGCCCCAGC